GTGTCGTCATGTTTTGTCTAATTTTATCATATTTTCTTTTAGGAACATGCTGTGCTCTGTGCCTGAGTGGCTTTATGAGAGCGGGAGACTCGAAGTTCTGGACCTTAACCATAATTGTCTTTCTGAACTACCAATAAAGTAAGTGTTACAATGCAGCAGTTGTAAGGATATGAATATGAATATGAATGTTCTGTGTTGGTTCTAAAGTACACCTCCTGGAACCTGTTGCAAAGTAGTATTTCTTAACAGCTATTTCTTTTCCATCTTGTGCAAGCAGACTGCTTATAAAGATTGCCTGTTAGTGGTCTCTCCCACATTGTATACACTCTGGTGCAATACTTGTGTGCTCCTGCTGTCAATTGTATGTCTCAGGAAGTAGTGTTGGGCAGGTCAGAGATGTGTTTATTTTTAGTGCAGCTCTTCATTCCTCTGGATGTTTGTGTGTTGCAGACTGCTGTCCTCAGGGAGTTTGAGAAAACTGCTCTCTGGCTGGAACAATGTGTGCCGTCTGGCTGAGAGGCTCGAGAGATCACAGCTGGAGGTGCTGGATCTGCAGCACAACCATCTGATTGAACTCCCAAGCAACTTATTCATCAAAGCACAAAGGTAAACTCTGCAACATGTCCTCTCAATGTGCTCCAAACTTTTATGAATGTACCTCTGAATCTGTGCAAGTTTTATTGCGATTGTCAGGCGTGCGGATAATAAGGTGTTGGATAAAAAATACACTTTGAATATAAATACAATATAGATGAAAGAACAGTGCTAAACTAGTGGTGCAAATAGCTGAAGTATGATTGAAGTGATTATTTGCCTTATTTACTTTTTATTCCAGTTTACGATACCTCAATGTTTCGGCCAATAAGCTGGAGAGCCTTCCTCCTGCGAGTCTATCTGAGGATGGGTTCAGTCTCCTGGAGGAGCTTTATGTGACCAACAACTGTCTGACAGACAAGTGCGTACCGCTCCTGACTGGACACAGCCATCTGAGAGTGCTTCACCTCGCATACAACCAGCTACAGACCTTCACAGCCAGGTAGCAAAACTAGACATGTTTCTCTTATTTTTGTGCCTGCTTTCTGTTTAATTTAAGTTTGGATTCTGCAGTAAACTAGCCCGACTGGAGCTGCTGGAGGAGCTGGACCTGAGTGGAAACAGGCTAAGGAGCGTGCCCACCACCATCCTGAGCTGTCAGCGCCTGCACACCCTCTCTGCCCACTCTAACGGCATCAACGCCTTCCCCGAGGTCCTGCAGCTGCCCGAGATTAAGGTCATTGGAGTCAGAGTTTTCTAATGTTTTCTTATGGTTTGTGAAGGTAGCTTAGTTTTATAAATGTAAAATGTGTTATATTTTGTAAAATTTTAAAAGAGCTTGTGATTATGGTACTAAAGACTAGGGTTGTAAAAATAATTGATACCTAGATACTGATACTAAAACAAGACACTCATTTTGTTGAAGTAGCTTATACTGAAATACTGAAATAAAAACAACACATAAAGTTCTAGATTGGTCTTGATCTACAGTGTATATCAAAACCAGTATTATAAGACCACATGGTAATATCAAGGAACTACTAATACATATAAACATAAGAATTATAATTGTGGTATTAAGTATCAAACCTTCTCCTTAGATATCTATATCTAAATATCTAAAAAGAAGAATATAAAAAGAAATAGGTAAAAATGGTAAAATGTTCTCCTCCCTATGACTTGTCCTTGCAGTGTGTGGACTTGAGCTGTAATGAGCTCACTGAGGTGTCCCTCCCTGAGAGTCTTCCTGCCAAACTCCAAGAACTGGATCTAACAGGAAACCCTCGCCTCAACCTGGACCACAAGAGCCTCGAGCTCCTTAAGTATGTGGTCCTTATACCATGCTTCTGTGGATAAGAATATTTATTAAATGTATTTAAGCCAAAAACTAACTGCTGTTATTTCATCTCCTGCACAGTAACATCCGCTGCTTCAGGGTTGATCCTTCTCTCTCAGCGCCTTGTGCCAGTGAAAGTCATGGGGCGCCTTCAGTCTGGAGCCATAGTTACACAGAGGCCTCCGGGGTCAAAAACAAGTGTGTTTCTGCCATATATTTATATTTACTGTACAGCTGACCATTATGTTATGTATGTGTAGATTCTGTGAACTACAACTGATAGTGGAACATTTGTTGTAGGTTGTGTGTGGCAGCTCTGGCTCTGGACAGCTTCTGTGGGATTCGAGAGGCACTGTATGGAGTGTTTGATGGAGACAAAAACGTGGACATTCCTTATTTGCTTCAGTGCACAATGGGAGATGTCTTGGCAGAAGAACTTCATAGGGCACAAAGGCAAGAAGACTACATGACCAGCACTTTCCTGACAATGCAAAGGTAAGCATTACTGTGGCAGTCTGCAGGCATCCTGTGAAGTCTGATGAATGGTCTGACTGTATCTGTGCTGCTCTGCAGAAAGCTGGGCACAGCAGGACAGAGGATGGGCGGCTCAGCAGCTTTGTGTCACATTAGACACGACCCCGTGGCACCTGGGGAGCACAGTGGCTGCTTCACTCTGAAGACTGCCAATGTGGGCCGCTGCCAGGCCGTGCTGTGCCGAGATGGTAAAGCTATGCAACTTTCCACTGTGCACACTGTGAAGGAGGAAGTGGAGTACCAGAGGGTACGGCAGCATAACGCCATCATCACTGAGGTAAGAAATATTTAGAAATGGGGAAAAGTTAATTACTAATCAAATCATAATTTGAAATGTAACTCGCTGTGTCTGGTTTTGTTTGTAGGATAACAAAGTCAGTGGTGTAACCGACTGCACCAGGATTATGGGCTACTCCTTCCTTTGCCCATCTGTCACCCCTCGTCCACATGTGTCCACTGTGACACTCACCCCACAAGATGAGTTCTTCCTTTTGGGAAGCAGGGGCTTGTGGGAAATGTTGTCTCCTACTGAAGCCGTGGAGGCAGTTAGGAATGTTCCTGATGCTCTGGCTGCAGCAAAGAAGTTGGTTACTCTGGCTCAGAGCTATGGCTGTGCAGACAGTTTAAGTGCTGTAGTCGTACGGCTGAGTGTGACAGAAGATTGCTGCTGCTTCTGTGAGCCACCCCCACCACCCCCGAGCCCTGGGCCTGGGGTACACACCAGCACACACCCCTATCAGACCAGTGACGGAGGCATTCCTCTACCCCCTCCCTCTTCAGGGACTGTGAGCGAGCTGAGCAGTGAGCTGAGCATGTCAGAGATGAGCAGTGAGGTGGGCTCCACGGCTTCTTCAGAGGACCCTCCTCCACAGGCCGAGCCCACAGCGGCACACTTAAACCTGCCTGGGCGGCCAGGAGCACGGAGGCCGGCGACGGGAGGCAGCTTCCAGAGGCAGTTCTCCGGAGCTCTGTCCGACAACGGGTTGGACAGTGAGGATGAAGAGCCCATCGCAGGGGTTTTCTCCAATGGAAGTCGTGTTGAAGTTGAAGCTGATGTCCACTGTTTGAATGGTCGAGAACGTCCCTCTCCACAAACTAACTTTCAAACACAGCAGATTACCGCCCCTGCCTCGAGCACAGTGTATCCAGAGCCTGCACAGGCCTCCCCCTCTCCTGTACCCCCATCGTCTCCCTGCCTCAGCGCAGAGGCCCGCTCTGGGACTCTGGGGCGGAGGGCCCGGGCCAATGGCTCTGTGGCTTGTCAGGCCCGGAGCCAGGATGTGATTGAGGAGGCAGGAGACGCACCTGTTAGGAAACAGGGGGGCTACTTTAATGCACCTGCACAGCCAGACCCTGACGACCAGCTCATCATCCCCCCAGAGCTGGAGGAGGAGGTGCGCCAGATCATCCAACAGCAACAGCAGCAGCAGCAACAAGAGCAAATGCACAACCAGCAAACTCACAGCTACCAGAAACCTGCAGACTACTTTGTGACCCCCCTCTAACTGCAGTGTAGAAATGCCCCATTCCTAAAAGCACCACTGTCTCTTGGCCAGCATTTAAGAATTGACAGTAGTAGGCCTTTGCTTCATCTGAACATGCTTTACTAAATTACTTTTGTTAGTTTTTGTTATTTTTCTACTGTTAACTGTATGCCCCCAAAATGCAATGCAATTTTATAACAATTTGTGTTAAATGTCAAGTGAAATTTTAATTTTGACCATATCATTCATCAGAAAGCACTTTGAATGATCTTCATTCAATAATTGTGATTGATTCTTTGTTAAATGGTACTTTTATGAATGGACCATTCCATTGTGTTGTAGTTGACCTTTCTGTTATGGGTTATGACGTTGGCCTTATTGTTGCCAGAGTTGGTGAACTCTAGAACTAACTCATAGTTTAATACTTTTAAGTGACATAGTCACTGGAGTGTACTAATATTCTCTAAGAGAAAAGATGATTATTTCATAGAACTGAATTTCCAGATTTGTGTTATTGGGGCTGGAGTGGAGAGTGGTGCTGCAGTGCAAGTCAAAGCTGAATGGGAGAAACCCAGTGAATACCAGCTTAATGAATGTTCTCAGAACAGTGTTACAGTCTACAGACAATGGCAAAATCGCACAAGAGAGCTACTTTTGCTATAAAATAAATTAAGATTTCTGATACTTGTTTGCTTGGACTTTGCTTGCTTTTTTATAATCTTTCTGAATGAGCCACAGAGGTTAAGATAAACTCCTCACAGCATGGGAAATATAAATACAAAGGCGTTGGTTTTACCTGGTCATAACACGCTTTGATGTTTGTGCCAGTGCACCACAATAAGAGCATTGTGTTGTCTGGATGGTACGTGGAGCCGGGCTTTAGTGAATGGCTCTGGAGAATCTCTCTTGTTGGTGATTATGTCTCGACTCAACAGTTCCATCACTGCTGTGTCTTTGTGCATGTGTGGCCCTTTGTCCCGCGGCAGAGGGGACGCACAGTGAGGTCATACTGCAGGAAGCCTCTGGAGGGGGCTAAAGTTAGTGATCAGACAGAGTCCCCTACCAGCTGTCCAAGGAATTACAAAAATATGACAGAGTTGAACAAAATAGTATTACTTTTATTCATATCATTTAATCATTTATTATGTTAGGAAACAAAACAAAAAATCCAAATAAAAAAAAAGTCTTATTTACCTTCAAATCAACCCTTTGCAAATAACCATTTTGGCATGAATGTAAAGTTAAGTATAAAAAGAAAATTGTAAAAAATTACATAACAAAATGTTAACAAATATAATCAAAGTACGAAAATGTACAGTGTGGTCACAATAGGTGACAAAAATTAAATTATGAATAACCTTGGTACATTTAAAATTAAACATTATCATACTATGCCCTTACACAGACGAGGTTGCAGCCCTGAGGGGAGCACTGTGTGGCTGGGAGCGGGCCTCGTTTCTGTCTGCATGCCTCCTTTTCCTCTCCTGCAGGTAGTAATTGACTGCTCTGATTGTCTTAAATGTGAGCACTGTCCCAGCTATGTACAGGATGGCCGTTATAAGCCCAAACAGAGCCACTGCTGCGTCTGCCCCACTCACATCACAATTCATCCAGGTGTACCCATTTCGAGAATAAATTATCTTTCGCTGCTGGCACACATCTGTTGAGTTCACCCTTATAATAAAATGTAAGTACAGTCCAACAGCGACAATGTAGAGTACTGCTCCCACAGCTTGGAAAATTAGTGCTCCAACTAGTAGCTTTCGGGACATTAAGTGGGGTGGTTTATTCCCAGATACTACAAAAAGCAGGCTGATGACCCCAAAGGTCAAACTGAAAGAGATGCCTCCATAGATGGTTGGCGCCCTCATCTGGCTGTACTGCATGTCCAGGTCTCGCACTTTTTGCAGCTCAGTGCCCTGGAGGTTGAAGTTGGAGTTGATGTTGAAACCACCCATCCCAGCTGCAGCGGACATACCTGAAGTCACCATGTGAGCTGCCACCACACATATCAGGACCAGGGCATTGGTCAGGACAGCACAGATGAGGACAATGCCTAAAAAATACATGAAGATCATTTAATATTATATTTTTGCTTAGTAATGAGTGCAAAAATAAAATGTTTTGCTGAAATTTTAAAACTACCAAATTATAACAATTATTCACAATTACTGACACCATGACCAAGCAGCAGTGAAATCTATAACTTCCTTCTATTCACAATTTCTAAGATCACCATTTCTCTATGTGACCAGCTTTATTAAATATTTTTTTCTGAATGATAAATTTGTTAATAATTAATATGGCATGTACAGCAGAATTATTTGTTTGTAGATTGAATTCAAATAACAAATTTGGCTTGTAAAGTTCTCATAATTATATTTGAATTTGTACCATTATTGTGACCTGAGAAATCATGATTATTGGTTAACAGATTAATCTTGACATCCTTAGTCCCAGAGACCCACAGTGGAATTTGTACTGTTGGAACAGTAGTTAGTATCAAACAAAAGAAGAATGAGAAAAAGGAGAATAACAGTAGGCCTACTATAGCCGCATAAGATAAATGCTAAAAACTAAACTAACTTTATACATAACACTACAATAACTAATAATAACAAATGCCATAAATGTTATTCTTAAGGCGCATTGTGATGTCATAAGGTCAGAGCATGTCATTAATCCAGTGATCTAATCTGTGTAGATTACAGGTTATCTCTTTTCGCCAATAATGGGGTCAGATTAGTCTATACAGGGAAGGCGGTGAATAGAAAACCGGTTTGCTCAGTGTGTTCTCCGAAAGAGGAAGGTGCAAAGACTGAAACCAAAGTCCTCTCACTGACAGCACTCCCAGTGGTTAAAGAGCTGTATAATGTTATGAGTGCTCTGTGGTCTCACCTCTCCTAGAGCACATGTGGGTGCATTTGGAGTCAGATTCACGGTGCTCCACTCTTGGGACATCCCGGCCATTCTTAGAAGAGCGGGAATCTTCTCTGGGATAATAGGGAGGTTGAGAGGAAGACCTAAAGGATACAGAAACCATGGAAACCTAAATATTAGCCTAATTAAATTAAATTACAGCACAGAAAGGTGTCAGGTGTGATAAGGGTAAAGCACACAATATTGGTTACATAGTATTATAACACAAATTTAGACCTAAATGTAAATAAGATTTAGTTTTATATTTCATATCTTGCATGCTCCATATAATTCAGAATTAACTGAACAAAAACTCAGATTAATTTAGATTAATTAATAACGTAATGAATAGAGTAATACTGACCTGCAATAGCTATAAACAAATATTATTAAGCACTGTCAAACGTAATGATGAAATATTATATTGGCTCAGAGTACAGGCCTTCTCTTTAGGTACACACCTGTCTGGTGATGAGCGTCTATTCTCATGGTCCCTGTAGTATCGACCGTCTCCGTTTCTGTCCCGGTGTCCCCGGTTGGAGCGCGGCTGACTGCTCATAGTCTGCAAACCGAAAGACAATCAAGGTCATAGTAGGCCTTAAACTGCTAAGGCATTCCCCATTTGTTTAGACTTATTCAAATTATTATTACTTTATTCTCGAGGATCTAGCAGATAGTGTGCGTAAAACCGTCGCCATTGCGCATATGGATCCAAACTTATTCAAGCTTTTTGAAGAAAGAACTTTGCAACAAAAATAGCCATGAAATAGTTCATTAACGAAATTATACAACTTACTGTGAAGTGGTTTTGAGATTGTTCTTAATATCCCGGCATCGTTGAATAAAATCTTTCGACAGGTAATGCGAAAACAAACCGCACCCACCCCCCTCAGCAGCGGAGTGGAGGAAGAGCGGAAGGGGCAGTCGCTCAGGTAAGAAGCGGGATCAGTGCACGGATCAAGGGAGAAATGGAGTGTTCTCTTCATCCGCTGTCCGCAGAGAAATGTGGTTTCTACGCTCAGAATGGGACCTTTGTGTGGGTCCAAAGACGCCTCTTTCAGTGTTGTTTATGGCACATTTGGCATTTCGCCTGAAGTGACTGTCTGTTGCTGTGCCCAAGAGGAATGTGCTTGTTCTATTCACAAGAACATAATATTCCCCCGCAATGCAATCTTCAAGTCCCACCAGTTGAAGTAGTAGTTTAGATGCCGTACGTAACTTTTTTTAAATTCTGCCTAGTTATTAGGCCTCTTTTGATGTAGTTTTCAAAATGTCCACACGAGGGCAGCAATAAATTAGCCTTTGTGCGTGCACCGAAGTTCTTCCGGGTGGTCTCAGAGATGTAAACATCAGGCAGTCCAAGCTGTACAGAAATGTTGTTCCTCCGTACCGCGGCTGTCGGCTTCAGGACAGTGGCCGCAGTGCGCTGCCTGTGCTCCGGCCACACCGCCTCCCGGAGCACCGCTGCATACATCCAAGGCCAAAGCCCCGAGCCTCGTATCAGGGGTACTTTTACTACATCGACCACCAGGGACAGGTGAGGCTTCTGACACACACCAGAGAGCACGTGAAAATTCCTCTTTCTCATCACTCTTGTCTCTTTTTTAGCTTTTTCTTGATGACACCAAAGTGAAGAACTTTGTCACCTGTTTCAAAGGTATTTTTACAATTATTATTATTATTATTATTATTATTATTATCATTTAGTAGCCTAATTTTAGAGTTTTTGTTGCACATCATAGCTTGAAGAAATAGTTGTTGGTTTCCAGCTCTGATCATTGATGATGTTTCCTCGGGCAAGACACTGGACACTGGGTCGATGTAGTAGTGGGAGTCACAGACGTAGAGGGGCAATGATAGATACACAGGTCTACCCCACAGCAGTCGTTGCTATAAAAGTAGCAGATTAGATGACAGAGTAAATTATGAAATACAAGACCAGTAAAAATACTTACATTTTCACATGTTCTTCTATGCACAGATAAACAGTTCTTGGTTTTCTTCTTCAGTCGGCTGCGGTTGAATCAGAGTGGACGATATGAGGAGGCTTTCCCTTTTGTGTCCCCATGTGGCCGGGAGAGAAACTTTGTGAGGTGTGATGACCGGCCTGTTGTCTTCACTCACCTCATACATGGAGGACATTCAGAGGCACAACTGCTGTCCTACTGTGGAGGGGCAGAGAAGCTTACAGCCCCATTTCGCCCCGAGGCTCTGTACATGCACCCAGACACTGGACGAGTGTACCACCCCTGCTCAGACAGGACAGGAGGAGTGGGACTGGTCCGCTCAGCTTTGGCCATAGAATTAAGCACCAACTTTGTTTATGCAACAGATGAGAGCCAGTCTGGACAGCCAAGTCACTTTGTATGGGGTGGTAAACAGCATGAACTGACCAATGAGCTTGCAGGATATTTCACATCTGTAAAGGATGGCAGTGGAAAGCAGGGAGGGGTTGGATAAGGCCATGTAGTCCTGAGTGGCCAAATATGGCATATAAAACATTCAAACACCATTTTGCTGATTGTAATGACTACCTGGTATTTATCTGAATTAACATAAACATAAAAATAAAAATATAGTAAAATTCTAGCAATTGTTTTTAATTTAACAATTTTATGTTTAAGAATTACTGAAATTACTTGATGAAAAGAACAAACAACTGTGCGGTGGTGGACATATTATCCAATGCAAAGGGTATGGCTACATCTGACGATATATGATATATCTATGATATGATTTTGATTAAGCTTCTAGAATTATACGTTAATAATAATAAATCTGAATGGCAAAAGGGTGGTCGATTTCTTGTGTTTTGTTAGCTTGAAAGTTGATACGTTATAAAGTAAGGTTATCTGTGTTTAACAGCCCGTGTGCGTATCTTAATTAAATAGACCTAATGGATTATTACATTTGCTTTTTTTTGTTTTGTTTTGTTGTTTTTTTAAGGCAGCTGTGACGTTGCGAAAGTAGTTGGGCTTTAAACGGCCAAGTTCCGCCTTCATTCCTTATCCACAGGAGGCTCAGTTGGAAGGACTGCAAGTCCCAGACTGCTCGGCTGCACTGAGCGCCGTCACAATGAATATGGCAGCAGCATACAGCGACACACGCGGGGCCATGGAGCGCTCTATCCGGGAGCGGGTTCCGCCGCTGCTCACGGACCTGTATCAGTTCACGATGGCGTACGCGTACTGGCGGGCCGGTCGACACCAGGAGCCCGCCGTCTTTGAGCTCTTTTTTAGGGACAATCCCTTTGGCGGAGGCTTCTCGCTGTTCGCAGGACTACAGGACTGTCTGCAGTTCCTTCAGAGCTTTTGCTTCACAGATGAAGGTAAGTGTTGTTGCCTATAAACGATGTTTGCTTTTTTATATTAAAGTTTGGTTTTTTTTGATAGCGCAGTTCAGACCTCATCAGGGTCCCATGACCGCATACTGTTGCGCAACTCCCTCCGCGCGGGGACCACCGTGCCCTTTTGACTCTCATGAACTTTAGCATATAAAGGCGCTTATGCTTATTACAGAACTAAGGACTGCAGACATGCAGTATTCAGAAACAGACTAGTCTAGTCGGGCGCTTATGAAGAAAGAAGTACACATTCAAGTTCATTCTTGCGTCCATACGTACGCTGTCCTTACAGAGTTCAGAGACATAATGTTATGTAATCCATAATCACACAGAGATACCCTGAAGGTCTATTGTTTCTATAAATGATGGACAAGGGTAACCCTTCCGTCCTATGGACAGTAGTGTAGTTAACTTGACTCTTAGAGTCTACCAAAATGGTACAGCAATAATCAGATTCATTTTGATGAAAGAAAGCCCCCTTTTATAAAACGTGTTACAGTAACTTCTCTTTGTCCCAGAAGAAAAACTCAGGTCTTACTGTGAAGGTGCAGTCTTTAGATTAGTCTTAGTTACAGTTGTTGTGATGAGACTCTGGGTCATGTGTGATTCTGAAGGAGCACATGTACAACATACCCTTTTACAAACACGTGTAATTATTCAGAGGAAGCATTCCGACTGTGAAAGGTTTATTTGTTGTCCAGACGTGGAGTTTCTGCGCTCTGTCCTGCCCCCCAACACTGACCCCGCCTTCTTCACCTTCCTGAGGGGCTTGGACTGTTCTGGTGTCACCGTGCGCTCAGTGCCAGAGGGGACTGTGGTCTTTGCCCGGGTGGGTTCAGAATAAATGTCAAACATCCTCAGTGTTGGACCATGGTTTAACTTTCACATCTGCAGGTTCCTGTGATGGAAGTGGCAGGTCCTCTGGCTGTGGTCCAACTGCTGGAAACCAGTTTACTCTGCCTAGTCAACTATGCCAGGTAAAAAAAATTACACAAATTATTACAGTTCATATAAATGTAATTATACTGTGTGTAAGTTTGGCTTTGCTGTTGTTAATAGTGTGATTTGTCTGTAGTCTTGTTTGTAGTAACGCTGCTCGGTTTCGTCTGGCAGCTGGCCCCAGCAGGAGTCTACTAGAGATGGGACTACGTCGGGCCCAGGGACCAGACGGAGGACTCACAGCTTCCAGATACAGTTACATTGGAGGTAAATGTCATCATTATGTGTCCTTGGGCAAGACTCTTTGCCCTCCCTTGGCCTAAATACAAATATATGTGAGTGAGTAGTGATCAGAGGGTCCGTTGTTACAGATTGGCAGTCAAGCTTCTGTTATTATTTAGTATTAGCTGTCATACTCAGAGGCTGTGTTTCTTGTAGGTTTTGATATGACCAGTAATGTTCAGGCTGGCTTCCTGTTTGGGATCCCAGTGGTAGGGACCATGGCACACTCCTTTGTTACTTCATTCAGTTCCTTGGAGGAGGTGTGGCCTCAGGTGAGTTTCTGTTTGGCCTGAGATGGTGCTAATAAACAAATGAAGACTCTTACACAACTTCATTTTGGCACAGGATTTCTGTAGATTTTTGTGCTTTTATTCCTAGACACTAAACACAGCCAGTGGAGACCAAGTTGACCTGATCTCACTGACAAAGGGCTTGCTCAGTCGTGTTTGTGTGCTACTCAGAGCTGAAGCAGGGAAGATCTGTGAGGGTGAGCTGGCTGCGTTTCTCACTTACGCCATTGCCTACCCACACAACTTTCTGCCTGTGATTGATAGCTACAGTGTTGCCTGGTAAGTAGGGCTAGGTGATATAGTGAAAAATGTATTCCCCTTGTATTGATGAAAATTGTTCTTATTTAAAATAAACTGATGTAGCTTCTAACAATATAGTTAATGAACAAAGACAAAATCAACGTTTTCAACCAATTTGATTAATTGCCCAGCTCTACTGGTTTAATATTAAATTAACAAATAAAATTGTACAAAAGTTTTGTCCTAGCAAGCTTGACTAAATTAAAATGTAGAAAGAACTGATGATGAAGACTAGTTGGTGATTAGACACTTTCTTTTCTTATTAATTGTTGCAGTAGTGGGCTTCTGAACTTTTGTGCTGTGGCCTTGGCTTTGTCTGAGCTGGGCTACAGACCCTTGGGAGTACGCTTGGACAGTGGTGACCTCTGCAGGCAGTCTCTGGAGGTGCGGCATGTCTTCAAACTCTGCAGTCAGCAGTGAGTGCCAGTGTATGTCCATCACTGTGATTTTACAAACGTACTATACATCTTGAAACCAGAATTTGGGTTTTTAAGCTTTTGTTGTTGTTTAGTTTTTCAGCGTCCACCTTTGATTCATTAATTATCGTTGGAACCAACAGCTTCTCAGAGAACACCATGTCAGAGCTCAACAAGAAGGTATTATGGTATTAAGAATTATAATAAAGACCAGATTTCCTCTATTGTTTTTTTTTACTGAAACACTTTTACTGCAGGAGAATGAGATCGATGCAGTTGGTGTTGGAACACATTTAGTAACATGCACAAAACAACCATCACTGGGTTGTGTATACAAGGTATTATAGTTTAAAAATAAAGCCATTATTTAATTGACAAGTTCTAATATATATGTCATATTTCTGTATGTAGTTGGTGGAGGTCAGAGGGCGTCCCAGGATGAAGGTCAGTGAGGACCCAGAGAAGAGCACAGTGCCTGGGAAGAAGGCTGTGTACCGCCTGCTTCACACAGAGGGTATGAACAGAGGATATGCCCTTTTTGGTGAATCAGAAAAGTATAATAACATTGAGTATAATGTTCTCCACTTTTGTGAAGGCCATCCTTTTCTGGATGTGGTTTGTTTGGCAGTTGAGCCTCCTCCTAAGGCTGGACACCCTTTCAGTTACTATCTCAGAGAAGAGGACACCTCTCGCTGTGTTACTCCTGCTCAGGTCACCTGTTTACGCCAAGAAGTCTTCACCAAAGGACAGGTGAGGACAAACTCTTGACACTTCAACATAATAATTGTTGTTCCACAGACACAAACTACAAATGATTTATAATGATTCCTCATTACAGATTTTTAAATGGTTTTCAATATTAATTTCCTGAACGTAAAAAATACAGTTTTTTAATCTTTACCATTTAACACAAAAAACAATTTCCAAATTCTGTTCTGCAAGCCACATGCTTTTATAGACTGAGAATTGACAGTAGACTGGAATTGGCAGATTAAAAATACCCTGCTGATCATTGACAATTAGAAATTACTGCCTTGGAACTCAATTAATTGCACGGCCTTAAAAGATGTATATTTTGTGCAGGTCACCTATCCTGTGTGCAGTGCTAAAGAAACTCGAGCAAAGGCCCAGAGCTCCCTTCAGATGCTTCACCCTAAATACAAGAGACTGCAGGACCCAGATATTTACACAGTAAGTCTCCTTCATATTTCCTCTGTACCTACTTCACTTCTCTGTATCCCCCTCCACTCATCTCTACCTCCTTCTCCTCTGTACCTACACATCTTCTGTATCTCCTCTTCTGTACTTCCTCCTCTGTACCACCTCTTCACACAGAAAATCAGAGTAACCATGTGTTTTCCTCAGGTGGCTGTGTCAGAGAAACTCTATAAGCTGGTGTCTGAAATCAGAAGAGGCATTACTAACAACAGCGCCAACTTTCTTTTATCCAACTGAAAAATGTGTATCTGTAATGTGGTTGTATTTATCTCATGTGCCTTAAAACTACAATTCTTCTGCATAGTGACATGTAGGAATATCCTAAACAAGTTGAGTACCTCATTTTCTATGTGCCTCAGTATTGTAAAACTCTAACCTGTTTGACTATTATGTATGCTACTAACAATAATCTTACGTTGTGTCAGTAGTGTGGCCTGTTAAAATTGCAGATATTGACTTGAGACCAATTCACTCTAACTGCTGCAGCCCACAAGATGACCACAATCAGCTGACAACAAATTGGTACTTTCTGCTTTCTGAATGTATTGTATCTTGTGTTTGTATCTTTCTGAATACGTTCATAAAAAAAAAATATTATACAAGCTCTTGGTACTGGACTCACTTGTGGCTATTGGCCTTTTGGGACATAGATAAAGAGAGTAGTCAGCATTTGTACTCAAGTAAGTTACTTTGAAATGTTTTTACTCAAGTAGAGTAGTAAAAAGTAATAGTAATTAAGTAGTAAGTAATGGTAAATGCTTAGACCAGTGTTTCTCAAACTGTGGTATGAGTTCCTTCAGGTACTTGGACAGCTCTTTAGTTTGTGGGTTAGCCTGATAGTTCATTTTATCCACCTTTCTGTCCTCCTTTGGATAATTTGTTTAGAACTACTAGAAATTATCTTTCCATTTTCTTCTACTTATTTAGGGCTAGGTCACAGGGGCAGCAGTCTAAGCAGGGACTCCCAGACTTTCCTTAGCCCGAACACTTCCTTCAACTCCTTCCATGGGACCCCAAGGTGTTCCCAGGCCAGCTGAGAGACTTTGTCTTTAAGACGCATACAGAACAGATGCTTGACCCACCTCAGCTGGCTCCTCTCCATGTGGAGGGGCAGCGGCTCTGCTCTGAGCTCCTCACCCTATCTTTAAGGGAACACCCAGGCGCCCTGCAGAGGTAACTCATTTCAACTTTCAGTCATTACCCAAAGCTCATGACCATAGATGAGGGTAGGAACGTAGATTGACTGGTAAATCGAGACCTTTGCCTTTTGACTCAGCTCCTTTTTCATCACACCAGTCACAACAATGGAATGCAATAGAGTATAATTGTAAATGTAGTTGTGTCAACTTTTAGATGTGGTTTAGCTCTACGTTAGACCTGGAATAGTTTTGTTATATACCCCCTTTTGATCTGATGGTACTTTGAAAAACAAGTTTTTTCTTTGTGGTACTTTGCGTAATCAGTTGGGTCCCCTGGGTTAGACTGTAAAATATAGCCTATAATTTAAGTTGAAGTGTCAGAAAAATACTTTGAAATGTACAATTTCTTCAAAATGTCTCTCAAGTTAATGTAACTGAGCGAACTCTCCACCTCTAGTAAAATCTTACCTATAGCTGTACGTGGAGCAGCAACAGTCAATATTGTCTGTGGGTAGAGGTAGCAATTTTCTCGGATGCCACTGGAGGTCGCTCTTTTCCCACTCTCCCTTACTCCCCTCGTCTCCCCTCATATTACGGCCAACACTGGGAAGAAAAAAAATCTGATCAAGCTTTTCCGGTCTCCTAGCCCTAATTTCCTCTCAAGACCTCTGGCGTTTGGGGCTGGGGGAGAGATAGGCGCACAGAGATCTGGAGCGAGGAGAGGAGATTCTGGCTGCTGGATTGAGCACCGCCTGGCTCCGAGCTGCTTACGCTCCAGACACGAGACTGCGTAGGACAATGCTCGCTGTCCACGGTGTAGCCTGTACGTTGTAATGTGCTGAGGAGCTCGTATACGTTGCTGGACAGAATGATTTGGCTGATGGGAGCACACTGGCTTCTCGCCTCGGCCCCGGAGAGCACTCATCCGCGCGCCTCTCCTCCGCGCTGCTGCATTCACGCGTCCGTCCGAAGAGTCATTACATAACTTGGCGTCTTGGTCGAAGCTTTTTGACAAGAATAGGATTTGTCTGTGCATTCTGTGGCCGGATGAGCGGTGGTATAGTGTTGGATCCGCTCTGCTTGTGCTGTCGTGGACTGAGGGTGGAAACCTGAGTCCAGCTGTGATGAGACGGGGAGTCCGGGTGGATTTCACTGGTGAAGCATCTGGAAAGGATAACTCCCCCTTCAGAGGACCACAGCTCAGTCATGTGTTTTAGTGTGTGTTTTATTAATAAATGCCAGACTGCTTGGATTAGCCCGCGTTAGATTGCCATAATTTGGACTCCCCTCTGCACCGGTGGGTTCAGGGAAAGCATCCTAGATTAGTACTCAAACTCCCGTGCCAGCTATGCGGTGAAGATGTGCGCTGCCAGGTTCAGTAACTGTCTGAACGGCTGTGCTGAGGAGGCCGGAGCTACAGGGGCGGCTGGTGGATCTACTGGTCCGCTCATGGCCTCCAGGATGCTGGACTGGACCGAGGCTGGCTCCCGCATCCTCCACAGCCTGGAGATGGGTACAGTCATGACCCTGTTTTACCAGAAGAAATCCCAGCGCCCCGAGAGAAGGACTTTCCAGATCAAGCAGGACACGCGACAGATAGTTTGGAGCCGGAACCCAGAAAAAATAGAGGGAGAAAGTGAGTGCTTTTACATTTAACCTGAGCTTGTCTCTACAAATAAACCCCATGTTGTATCCATATTGGTTACTGCAATAAACAGTTAATAACAATAAGTGTCAAAAGTGGCACACTTGTAAACATATTTTCCCCATGTTACATACGTATTTCCCCATAATAGGCTACATAACCATAATATAGTTGAAGACAATCAGAAATAATGAATAATAACAGTACACATATTAGCCTACTTTGCCATGCTTTCCTTGTGCATTCAGTGTAGCACCAATCTGATGCTATGATATAGATTAGGCAAACTTTATTGAGCCACAGTGAAATAGGCAATGAGAACCATGTGGCCTCAAAATGATTTCCAAATACTTACACTGAACCATAGGATATTTCTAATAGAAACAGTATGCAGTGTAAGTGTTTTTAGCCTTTTATAAGCCTGTTCATGTTTGATATTGATCACTTTTATCTGACTGCATAACTGTTGTAGAGTGTCTTTTATAAAAGGTACTCAAAAGCTCAAACTAGACAATCTGAGTAGAAGCTTGTTTATGCAGAAACTAAACAGATGGTGTCTTTACTGTCACAATTCAGAATAGGTTATTTCATGTCTTATCTGTGTTGACTTAGGTACTGGACTCACCCTTAAGTACTGTATACCAAATAATAACTATACTTGCTGTTAGATCCAGTGTTGTTTCTTATGCAGAAGGTTGCAGTGGTCAGTTCAACAAATGAAATCTGATTTGTGTGCTAAAATCTCTTGGGTATTACTCCTTGTTTAGGAAATACTTTCAATAATGACTTAACCAGAGAAAGGGAGCAGGACTGGGCTTCCTGAATTTTAACATGTACTCTCCTCTTTCCTTCGCTTTAAGAAGTTAAGGTGAGTAACATAACTTTGAAGGTGCAATACATGGTACATGGTAACCTGACAAAGTGTTACATAAACTATACAAATGTGGTGTGTTGTGAAATGGGCAAATACATGCAGTGTACACAGTGAGGTACAGTAATGTCCTGTAATAGTACAGGGTGTATGTTTGAGAGTCAGTATTTATCATTGGGACATTTTTGGTTGTTTTTCTGTACTATGATACAATTTGAACTCTAGACAGTTGAATTTGAACTTCTATAACTCTAGACCTACATTAACTACTTAACTGTTGCATTATGGCATTTCTTTATTGCAGCCCATATTTCTTTGATAATATTGTACATTTGGAATACTTTTTGGGGAATAATTCAGCTTTAGGGTTTGGTTTCAATGTTTATGGTCTATATTTATAATGACAGGTCCATGTGAGAGTTAAATAGTGTGGTGTGTGTTGCCATGTGTTAAATATAATTCTACACTGCACTGTTGTAAATATACATATATTATGAGAATTTATGGATGAAATACAGCGGATTTAAACAATGTTTATTGGCAGTTGTCAGTAGATATAGACTGTTATGATATATTGGCTGGCTGATATATCAGACTGATATTTGCACTTTTTAGCACATCAACTATCGGTCTTAAATTTCCAGCACAAGCCCATATTTGCTTTTAAATGACCCCATATATCATCCCAAAAATATCAGCCGATCTTATCGGCCATAGGGTTCTCTGGAGTATAAAAAATTGGTGTCGGCCATGAAAAAAATTGGTCAATCTCTAGTTGTCAGTGTAGTAAGATCAGAAGTGTACAGTACATTTGAAAAAAATTTTGGATAGTAATTCAACTGCAAAATGCAAGGTAATAACATAATGTGATTACAAAACCTAAAGTAAATTTGGTAATTTACTACTGTGTACCCAGGAGCACTGGTGACCATAACCTGAGGTCTCAGAGCTTCCTCATGTCTGTGCATGAGTCAGAACAGAGCTGGGTACAAAGGCCTTCAGTTTTGTTGCTCCACAGTTATGGAATGAACTTTGACTTAATGACTTGGTCCCGCTAAATGTTTATAGGAGACTTTAAATGTCTTGGAGGAACAATCGTCTGGTTGTAGTTATTTTATATGAGGTGTCTATTTTAATAATGTCTTAATGATTTTATTGAATGAGGTGTAATCATGTACAGCTGATTGTACCAAGGTTTCCCTGTCTGTTTGATGATTGCTGCCTCTTGGCCAGGACATTCTTGAAAAAAACCAAAAAAAACAAAAACAATAGCCAGCCTTAACATTGAGCATTAGAAATAATTCTCACCTAGTATTATGCCCCAATGACCCCTCTCCTCCCATAGAAAAGTATACCCACCCCCATCCACATATTTAGTCTCCAGTCTTTCCCCAAGCAGCCTTCCTGCCTGCCTTGCCGCCTCACTAACTCCTCTCACTGTAGGCGCACAGTCAAGTGGCAATGGTGCGCTTAAAAGTAGCACGTTAGGGGTTTGGCCGTGGGTTGCCAGATTGGACCACTTTTGCCTGTCTGGGGTGTGGAGCCTATTGTTTAAGTGTGTCCTGGATTCTGAGGCCTATAGGGAGGATTTGTTACAGTGTCTGTGAGCACCACGAAAACGTCTGACATTCACAACTGCCCTGATAGAGTTTCTCTTCTGTCTGCCATGTGTTATTCTAACTCTGTTTTTATTGTAGGCCATTGTTCACACAAAATCTTAAATTCCTTGTTTTGTTCACTAGTGTTGGATGGATTGTTGTTTTAGTCGATCTGTAGTTCAAGAGTAGCTATTACTAGATTTGAATAAGAAGTGTGGAATATTGATAATGTTGTGAATGAATATATGCAATATTTTATATTCAAATAAGGTTGCAAAATAGAGACAGATCAATATGAAAAAAAACCCAAACAAAAAAAAACAAAAAAACATAATGATTACAAAGAGATGAATCTGGACCATTGTTAGGTAGCTTTACCATTATTTCACATTTGTCAGATACTTGAACTCAACAACTGAACAGTGAACATCTCTAGTTCCCGCCATTTTTTAACTTTATATATATATATATATATATAATAATGAAATAAAATGTGTTTCTCACCTTCCACGGTGGTAGGTCTCTCACCCTCATTCAGCTCGGGTCCTCTACCAGAGGCCTGGGAGCTTGAGAGTTCTGCGCAGTATCTTTGCTGTTCCCAGTACTGCACTTTTCTGGACTGAGATGTCCATTGTTTTTCCCGGTATCTGTTGAAGCCACTCTTCCAGTTTGGGGGTTACAGCCCCGAGTGCTCCGATCACCACAGGCACCACTGATGCCTTTACTTTCCAGGCTCTCTCCAGCTCTTCCTTGAGCCCCTGGTATTTCTCTAGCTTCTCGTGTTCCTTTTTCCTGATATTACCATCGCTTGGTATTGCGATGTCCACCACCACGGCTCTGCTCTGTTTCTTATCCACCACCACTATGTCTGGTTGGTTCGCCATCACCATTCTGTCAGTCTGTATCTGGAAGTCCCACAGGATCTTGGCTCGGTCATTCTCCACAACCTTTGGAGGTGTTTCCCACCTTGATCCTGGGGTTTCCAGCCCGTACTCTGCACCGATGTTTCTGTACACTATGCCCGCCACTTGGTTATGTCGCTCCATGTATGCTTTCCCTGCCAGCATCTTACACTCTGCAGTTATGTGCTGGACTGTCTCAGGAGCCTCTTTGCACAGTCTACACCGTGGGTCTTGTCTGGTGTGGTAGATCTGGGCCTCTATTGCTCGAATGCCCAGGGCCTGCTCCTGAGCAGCCAGGATCAGTGCCTCTGTGCTGTCCTTCAGACCAGCCCTCTCAAGCCATTGGTAGGATTTCTTGATATCAGCCACTTCAGTTATGTTCCGGTGGTACGCCCCATGTAGGGGTTTGTCCTGCCATGATGGTCCCTCCAGCACCTCTTCCTCTGGACCCCACTGTCTGAGACATTCTCTGAGCACCTCATCTGCTGGGGCTTTGTCCTTGATGTACTCAAGGAGCTTGGATGTTTCATCCTGGACAGTGGTTCCCACACTCACTAGTCCTCGGCCCCCTTCCTTCCGGCCTGCGTACAGTCTCAGGGTGCTGGATTTGGGATGGAACCCTCCATGCATGGTCAGGAGCTTTCGTGTCTTAACATTTGTGGTCTGTATCTCCTCCTTTGGCCAGCTTACAATCCCTGCAGGGTATCTGATCACTGGCAGGGCGTAGCTGTTGATTGCCTGCACCTTGTTCTTGCTGTTGAGCTGGCTTCTAAGGACTTGCCTCACTCTTTGCAGGTATTTGGCCGTAGCCGCTTTCCTTGTTTCCTTCAAGGTTGCCATTTGCTTGTGGGATACCAAGGTACTTGTAACTGTCCTCAACGTCTGCTATTGTTCCCTCTGGGAGTGACACCCCCTCTGTGTGGACTACCTTCCCTCTCTTTGTCACCATCCTGCTACATTTCTCAAGCCCGAATGACATCCCAATGTCTGTACTGTAGATCCTTGTGGTGTGGATCAGTGAGTCGATGTCTCGCTCACTCTTAGCGTACAGCTTGATGTCATCCATGTAGAGGAGGTGACTGATGGTGGCCCCGTTTCTGAGTCGGTATCCATAGCCAGTGCGGTCGATTATTTGGCTGAGAGGGTTCAGGCCTATGCAGAACAGTAGTGGGGACAGTGAGTCTCCTTGGTATATGCCACATTTGATGGACACATGTGCAAGTGGCTTCCCCTTGACTTCAAGGGTGGTTTTCCACAACCGCATCGAGTTCGCAATGAACGCCCTTAGAGTCCTGTTGATATTGTGCAGCTTCAAGCACTCAGTGATCCATGTGTGTGGCATTGAGTCATAGGCTTTCTTGTAATCAATCCAGGCAGTGCACAGGTTGGTCTTACGGGTTCTGCAGTCGCGGGCGACTGTTCGGTCAACCAGGAGTTGGTGTTTGGCTCCCCTGGTGTTTTTGCCGATACCCTTCTGTGCTGCACTCATGTATTGATTCATGTGCCCACTTATCTTAGCCGCAATGATGCCTGACATGAGCTTCCATGTTGTGGAGAGACAGGTTATTGGTCGATAGTTGGATGGGACTGCACCCTTTGAGGGATCCTTTAGGATCAGGA